TTTGTCATTTATTTGTTGTTGATTCTGCCTTGTGTGCAGAATTATCTTCCGTGATGATATGAACAGGATTTAAAAAATCTTTTGTTAAAAAACCGAAACAGCTCATTCTGCAAATTCCACTTGCTGTAGATTCACGCAGCAAGACCTGCAACCCAGGTCTTGTTTCAGTTAGCCTATCATGGGGTGAGAGGTGGGGTCACTAATCTCTCAGAGGCCTAACATTTGGAGTTAGACAACCGTACATGCTCACATTGACGTCTATGGTCAGTTTAGTCTTTGGGAGAAAGTTGGATTACCCAGAGAAAACCCACACAGGGGGAGAACATGCAAGTTCAAACAATGCATACATTTGTCATATGTAAAGATTTTCATTTTAAAAAAATCAGCTTTTTGAGAAAATAAATGTTCCCACAGCACACTTAAGGTATGACTATGCAGCGCATTGTTGCTGCCAATAAACTAGTGGATCATATGTCCTTGGAACAAATGAGGTATCTTCTGACCTTCATAGTGACATCAGCAATTGCACTGTGGGTACTGTGGGTTACGCTAACCAGGCTGTCAAAAGCAGCCACTCCTGCCTCAGATGATGATGACTGTTAAACTGTTTGTGGTGTCATGAGATTTGTTCTACACTCTGTCAATCAAACCTTATAGCAACAGGGAAACCACCTGTTGAAACTAGGGTGAAACACACCAAGATCTCATTTAGTTGAGGTCACATGATGTGGGAGTTTTGAACCACACTTTGGAGAACTGGTTCGAACATGCTCACGGTTAGCTCAATACAGCTTTGAGACATCAGTATCGAGCGTTCAATCTATAGTTGTCTGTCTCTCTGTGTTAGCCCTGCGGCAGACTGGCGCTGGGCTAACACAAGGGTGTACCCCACCTCTCGCCCTGTGACAACCGAGATAGGCTCCAGACCCACCTACCACAGCCCTGAATTAGATAAGCAGAAGAAGATGGATGGATGGATTCACAGAGTTCCACACATACAATAATGTATTATTCAGTAGCCATTCATAATGTTCTCCCTGTGACAACTATAACAGTCTGTACATTCATCACAAGGAGATTTCTAATATGTGATAATATACTTATCTATCCTAATTACTAGGTTATGTTGTCTTCTCCATCTTCATCGCCTAAAGCTCGAAGCTTTCAAATAAATGACTAATTATTTTGATCTAAACATCAGCACAGTGTGAGCAGTAGAGTGTTTTATAGCTTTTCACTATCTGTCTGTGGGGATGACACCTGACATAGCGATCGAGATGATCTGCTGTAACATCAGGTCACACTGAGATTTGCTCTTTTTTCAGAGAGAGACACGATTACTCTAGCCCTGTGCCTGTGCTCTCAATTTAGCTTAACAAGGCTCACACGGAGCACTATAAAAGTGCTGCTTGTCTATTAATACCAGGAAGCACCTGCTGTCTGTTAAAACATCTGGTTTTGTTTCTGTTGCACTGTTTAAAGCATCTTTGGGATACTGACCGCAGGAGTTGGCAGGAACAGATTACTTTAATTAAATGCATCCAGGAATAAAAGACAACTACAGGCTGTCACATCCTAAATGAGACGCAGTGCTGCCCTTTAAACATGCCTATGGAGGTAAGAAAACTGCATGATGAAGGCACTCTGCATATTTTGTTTAAATAGCTACTGTAAGCTAAAGAGAATAACGAGGTATAAAATATATACGTTTTTTTTAATTGGTTTTTTTAATGGTAATATTTCCATTTTCTTTTTATGATGTTTATTAAAATGTTTAGTATCAAACAGGAAATTTAAACCTTTAAACTTGTTCTAAGTGTGTTGTCTTTCTTGGAATTTTACATACACTAATCATGGGCATGAATGGTAGTTTTTAACTGCTGGCAACACAACATCCACAGATTACAATGCTGCCACCGCCATGCTTGGGAGTACATATAGTGTTCTTAGGTTAGAAAGCCTCACCTTTACTTTTAAGTATTTGTCTTCTTCCTCATTTATTTTGTTTTCCTGCATATTTACTTATACATTTCACATCATCAAATATATTTTAATATTAGACAAAAAAAAATTTTAATGATAAAAAGTAGTTTTTAAATGATTATTTCATTTAAGGGGGAAAAAAGCGATCGAAACCTACCTGTCAAAAATTCTTATGTACAGTTGTTTGATGATTTCCAA